TGAAATACCTCCACCGGCACCACTACCACTGGGCACTCAACGTTGCTACTACTTGGTTCTGTCAGATGACTCTCGTAACCAGATATGCTGCCAAAGCTGTGGATGGTTTCTCAATTCTCCCTGTGACTTTGGCTCACTTCCATAAGCCTCAAGGATCTTAAGGATGAACACCCAGTGCAGAGCCCTCTTGCATACAAAATCATTGCCCCTTATGTTGTTGTTGGGTATGTATAGGGAAGGAGTAGTGGCATTTCTTCCTCAGAAGCTGTGATTCTGCCAACAAATCCCATCCAATGAGGCACTTACCTCAAAACGGAGTGGTGCTGAGATATCACATAGCAGATACAACAAATAGTGTCCACTATCTACCTGAGGATCTTGAAATTTCATAAAATAAGACTTCCCATTCCTAATATGCTTTAGTTCACTTACAAAATATTTGGTGTTACTTACTAAACTAATTTTACAAATAACTAATGTACCCAAAACCTGAAGTTTAGAAAACAATTTTCTGCAATATTCTCTTGCTTATGGAAAAATCAAGCTTGTTTGTTTCTTGAATGTGACTTAAAAAATAATAAATGAAAAAAAAAAGAAGATAGCAGGAAGGGAAAAATGAAGGGGGAGAAATGGGAGGGGGAGATGAACCATGAGACAGTATGGACTCTGAGAAACAGACTGAAGGTTCTAGAGGGGAAGGGGGGTGGGAGGATGGGTTAGCCTGGTGATGGGTATTTTTTTTTTTTAAAGATTTCATTTATTTACTTGAAAGAGAGAATGAGATAGAGAGAGAGAGCATGAGAGGGGGGAGGGTCAGGGAGAAGCAGACTCCCCGTCGAGCAGGGAGCCCGATGCGGGACTTGATCCCGGGACTCCAGGATCATGACCTGAGCTGAAGGCAGTCACCTAACCAACTGAGCCACCCAGGCGCTCATGGTGATGGGTATTAAAGAGGGCACGTTCTGCATGGAGCACTGGGTGTTATACACAATGAATCATGGAACACTACATCAAAAACTAATGATGTAATGTATGGTGATTAACAGAACATGATAAAATAAAATTAAAAAAATGATAAATGAGTCATTGACTTAGAGCTTAAGTAAAAGATTACGAATGGTTTTTCCATGTTTCTATAGACACATCCCCTCAAAATTTGTGGAAAAAATAGAAAAGGATTACAAACTGGCTATTTATAGGGAAAGCATGCCTTTTTTTTTTTTTTTTTTTTTGGTAAGGAGAGAACTCTTTTGTAACACAAATAATAACCATCATCATCTCATGTATTATCTGTTTTGTAAGCTCTGATTTTCCTAAAGTAAGACAGCTGGTAGTTTCTCCATTATATTAAAATAATGTCAGATATAGACTAAATAATCACAATTATAGTACATTTATTAAGTAATATCTCTGCATGTAAAGAATTTTATGTTTCACTTAAATAAGTAATCTTTGATATGAAAGAAATTTTCATCAAAGGCAGAAATGACAGGAAGGATAGGAGCTGGAAATTATAATAAGAAATACATGAATTAGTTATGTATATTATGTTAGTACTATGACATTTTGTATTTTTTGATATATAATATGATAGGATGTTGTAATTTATATTAAGTAGATTCCACTTGTATTCAATATTTTTGTTCCAAAAAAATGGAGCTGAAGATAACATTTTAAAAATATAGTCAACTGATACTTGACAGAAGAGCAAAGGCAACATCATGGTGAAAATATATTCTTTTCAACAAATGGTGCTGAAACAACTGGATATCTACATGCCAAAAAAATAAATCTAGACATGAACCTTACACACTTCACAAAAAATTAATCAAAACCCTAGTGAAAAATTCAAAACTATATAACTCCTGGCAAATAACAAGAAAAAATCTAGGTGTCATTGGTTTGGTGATGATTTTTTAAAATCATTAGACTGAGCTAGACTCCATTTAAGTTAAAAACTTTTGCTCTGTGAAAGATACTGTCAAGAAAAATAAAAGATATGGGGCTCCTGGGTGGCTCAGTTGGTTAAGCGACTGCCTTCAGCTCAGGTCATGATCCCAGAGTCCCAGGATCGAGTCCTGCATCGGGCTCCCTGCTCAGCAGGGAGTCTGCTTCTCCCTCTGACCCTCCCCCCCTCATGTGCTCTCTCTCTCTCATTCTCTCTCTCAAATAAATAAATAAAATCTTTTTTTTTTTAATAAATAAAATCTTAAAAAAAAAAGAAAAAGAAAAGACGTAGACTGAGAAGGGATATTTGTATCTGATAAAGTACTATTTTCTACAACATGCAAAAAAACTCTTAAAATTCAATAAAAATATAACAAACAACTCAATTAACAAATGGGCCAAAGCGGGTGTCTAGGTGGCTCAGTTGTTTAAGTGTCCAACTCTTGACCTTGGCTCAGGTCTTGATCTCAGGGTCATAAGTTCAAGCCCTGCGTGGAGCCTACTTAAAAAACAAAAAACAAAAATGGGGCCAAAGACCTTAAAAGGCATCTCACCAAAGAAGTTATATAGAGGGCAAATAAGCATATGAAAGATGCTCCACATCATGTTTTCAGTGAAATACAAATTAAATAATAATGAGATACCACTATACACAGTAGAATGACTCGAATCCAGAGCGTCCACAACAACAAGTACTGACAATGATGTAGAGCAACAGGAAGGCTCATTCATGGCTGGTGAAATGCAAAATGGGATAGCCACTATAAAAGCTAGTTTGGCAGTTTCTTATAAAACTAGACACAGTCTTACCAGATGGGGATGTAATCATACTCTTTGGTACTTATGCCTGCCCAAAAACCTGCACACAGATGTTTAAAGAACCTTTCCTCATAATTGCCCAAACTTGGAAGCAATCAAGATGTCCTTCAGGAGGTGAACAGATAAATAAACTGTGGTACATCCAAACAATGGGATGTTATTCATTGCTAAAAAGACAAGCTTTCAAGCCCTGAAAAGACATGGAAGAAACTTAATTACATATTACTAGGTGAAAGAAGCCAATTTGAAAAGCCTGCATACTGTATAATTCCAACGATATGACTTTTTTTTTTTAAGATTTTATTTATTTATTTGACAGAGAGAGACACAGCGAGAGAGGGAACACAAGCAGGGGGAGTGGGAGAGGGAGAAACAGGGTTCCCACTGAGCAGGGAGCCCGATGTGCGCTGGATCCCAGGACCCTGGGATCATGACATGAGCTGAAGGCAGACACTTAGCGACTGAGCCACCCAGGCACCCCATATGACATTCTTGAAAAGGCAAAGTGATGGAGATAGTCAAAAGATCAATGGTTGCTAAGGATTGGGATGGGTTAGAGGACAAATAAACAAAACGCAGAGGATTTTTAGGTCAGTGAAATTGCTCTGTATGATTACTATAATGATGGGTACATGTCATTATACATTTGTCCAAACCATAGAATGTATAACACCAAAAATTAACTCTAATTAAACTGTTCAGTTATAACAAGTGTACCACTCTGAAAGGGAATGTTGACTTGGGGAAGGCTATGCATGTGTAGAGGCAAGGAATATAGGAAATCTCTATACCTTCTGTTCAATACTGTTGTGAAACTAAATTGGGGACATTTCCTTAAGGGAAGAATACAGTGATTGAAGTGGCAAAATAAATGGCATCACTGAAGTTATAATGTAAGAAAACTGTTGTATCGCTAAATCGTACACCTGAAACTAAGATTACTAGTTGGTAATGTTAACTAGCTGGAATTTAAATAAGAACTTAAACAAAGAAAGACTAGATGACACTACTACATTTCAGAGATATATGCATTTAACTGAAGTATATAATAACAATAGAATGTATGAGGGTGTCACTATCTCCAATTTATGGAGGTTTCTAAAATTCTGACTCAGTCATCAACAACATTAATCGAGTGGCTCCCATGTATCAGGCACTGAAATCACAAACAGGTAAACACACATAGATTTTAATAGATAAGGATTTATACTTCTCATGGTTCTTTATGAAGTCTTAGCCCTTATATAAAGGAGAAAATATGCTTTATGAAAAAATAAATTTTTCATTTCCACACTGTAGGTATTTAATACTTGCTGCATTTGGAATCAGTGCTGATATGGCTTTATGAGTCAGTTATTTCCATATGGATTTAAAAGGACAGTCTGTAAAATTTGACAGTGTGAGTCTTTCTTAATACTGAAAATCTGGAAAGAATTACAAGGAAACATCATTCAAGTATAAGATGCCAAGTCATATCATGTCTATTTATATAAGACCATGAGAAAAGTAAAAAGCCATATTTACAAATTGCATATTTACACTTGTTCTTTCATGCTGAGTACTTCTGATATGAACAAATGTTACATTCAACACTTATTGTTTCCTATATCAAACTATGTTTCTGACCTTATCCTTCAGTACATAATACCAGGACAAACAAAAATAATAAAGTGAGTCTAAATAAGTGGTAATTAGACAGTAATCCTATTTTAACATATTAAATTAATGCTATTTAACTGCATGAACTATTTTGTTAAATAAATACTCTAAGTTAAGATAAATAACCCTAAAAAAAGGTTATAAAGACAAAGATCTATAGAGGGATGTCATATTATTTGGAAAATAGTTCAGAGCCTTTGAACAACTTTGTTCATTTCATAGTCATAATCAATAACATTTATGGAATTTTAGATACTTTTGTGGGGGAAACTATTTAAATTTTTTTTTTTTTTAAGATTTTATTTATTTGCGAGAGAGAGAATGAGAGACAGAGAGCATGAGAGGGAGGAGGGTCAGAGGGAGAAGCAGACTCCATGCTGAGTAGGGAGCCCGATGTGGGACTCGATCCCGTGACTCCAGGATCACGACCTGAGCCAAAGGCAGTCGCTTAACCAACTGAGCCACCCAGGCGCCCTGTGGGGGAAACTATTTTAGTAATGTGGTGCTATGTACATGGCAGAAAAGTAGGGAAGGTGAGGGGCAAAATGTATGAATGATTAAGACTACGAGCTCTGGTGCTCACTTCCTCAGCAGATATACAAAAATTGTAATGATACAGAGATTAGCATGGACCCCACACAGGGATGTCACTGCACACTTGTGAAGCATTCCATATCAAAAAAGAAAAAAGGTGGGCTCTGGAGCTTTTACACTTGAGTAGAACTCTAGGTGCATGATTCTGAGCAATTTATATAACTTTTCTGCACCTCTGTATCTGTTTCTTCATTTGTAACATTGGGTCAACAATATTTCCTTTGCCACAGGACTTTTGAATATGAAATGGATTAATTTCTCTTAGGGCAGTACTTGCCCTTTAGTAAGTGCTAAATGTTTGCTTTATTATTATTTTTTTAAAGATTTTATTTATTTATTTGACAGAGAGAGACTGAGAGAGAGAGAGCATGAGAGGGGGGAGGGTCGGGAGGGTCAGAGGGAGAAGCAGACTCCCTGCTGAGTAGGGAGCCCGATGTGGGACTCGATCCCAGGACTCCAGGATCATGACCTGAGCCAAAGGCAGTCGCCCAACCAACTGAGCCACCCAGGCACCCTGTTTGCTTTATTATTAAATATATCTGCTACAGAATGATTGAAATTCATAAAACAAATGCAGAGATAGGTTCTAACAGGAAACACTTAAGCCAAAGACAGTAAGGAAGATCCATGCCAGTAGGGAGATTTTTGAACCATTTTGGGGACTAAAAGCAAGTTTTGGGAAAGGAGAAAATAAAATAATACTTATTGAAAATCTACCATGCACTAGGTATTTTGCATACATGATTTCATTTAATTCTCCCTACAGTACAACAAGCTTGAGGAAATTGTCACCATTTCAAAAAGAAAAATAGGAAGGAAACATTAAATAAGTTGCTAATATTCTCTCTGCCCATAGAGTCAATCCAGAATCTAAGCTGATATATATCTTGTTTTAAATTTTGTATTGCTATCATGTGTTGTTTTCACATAATGCTATAATTGGTGTCTCTTTCTAGAAACCCATATAGCATTCTGTTCAAAACCCTGAAGTATTAGGGTTTTAATATTCCCCATAAAATTCCTGTGCCAGTTTGGGGAAAAGATTCATTGTTTATCATCTTTATAATGCACCTAATGATGTCTTAGCTTATGGGTGGCAAGAATAATTATATCCATTAATGCACAAATTAACGTAAAGAAAAAAAAAGTGTCTCCATGAAAAAGAAACTGAGTTTCTTTCTTTCCAAATCCTTCCCTCCACTGCTCCTTAATCTCAAACCCATTTAAGCACAAGAGTGAAGTTGTTTAGGTGCAAGCGATAGAGAGTAATTAATGGATCGTCATACTTATATGAGGAACATAAAAACCGATTCACAGGCATGAGGTGATAACAGAGCTTGAAACACAGGAAGCGATTCCTCCGATAAGTCATGTGACTGATACCTGGGTGGAATTTTCTCTCTCTTCCTCAAGAAACCATGTATGACTGGAGAGATTATCAGACTTTGAAAATTTAAGATGTTTTGTATTTTAGTGTGCAAACATAACCTCAAAATTTCTATTACTTTGTGTTAAAATAATTCTTTAGTGTGTCTATTTTTATGGCCAGATTCGGTGAATGGACTTGCTATTCTTGATGTAACAACACCAAATATTTTCACAGAACTGTTGTAATATTTTGTTCCAGAGCATTGTTGAGAGAAAAAAAAAATAAAAAAAATCAGGATTCAGGATTATGGTAAATATTTTAGTGTTTCATGTGGATTAAGTGAAGTAGAAAAACTGTTTCCAACCTCCTTCTCCTTTTCTGTCATGTCAACGAGAGTGAGCTTCATTCCCAGCTCACAGGTGCTCAGAGCCTCACCCTGCTCCAGTATGACCAAGACAACCAACCCTGATTCTCTAAAGAAGTTTCATCCTCCACAATGCTCTCTCCACTTGTGTTCAAATCTTTGAGGAGCCTGGCTTTCGTCTAGCTTTGATTCTGGAAAAGCCTTCATGATAAATTCAATGAAGTCTCTTATTTGTTAATCGTTCACTGTATGAACTTCCAAAAATCAGTACTTGTCAGTACATTCACTACCTGCATATTGATAGATGTATCTAATCACCCAATGACAAGAGAAAATTGAGTTGGGTGGAATTGGTTCTGCAATATCGCCCTTTTGCCAAAGGGCAAATACTTTGTAGAGTTTGCTCTGTCTGTTAACTTTCAAAGCCCTTTTTACAGGTAGCTGCCTATTCCCTCTTATGTAAGTCCAAACCTCCCTCTTAATCCTTGACAGTGGGTTCTGTTTCATCCTGTTGAAAATTCTGTTAGCCTTACACTGGAATGAAGTATAAACACACCTACAGTGGCTTGTCTTTACTTCTTGTCCAATGCTGCAGTACCTAACTTTGTAAGGACACTTGCTTATTTTATAAGCACATGGCAATGAACAAGTCCTGGTCTTAATGCTTTCTACAAAAGAAACAAATGCTCTGGAAAAAAAAAAAAAAGCAATAAAAATTTCACGTGAATAAAAATATCATCAGAGAGCAAGAAGTTTTAGAGGAACATTCAACCTGCTCTGATAAACAAGTGTTGTCCAAGAAAACATGTAATTTAATAGAAATATGATAGCAAAGACCAGCTGGCAAATGATACTTAAGAGAGAAAATTTCTTGACATTTAGGAAAGTGCAACTTTTGGAAGTCACTTTTCATGTAGTCACATATTCATTTTTAAGGTAATGACTAGTAAATTACAGTCACCCTTTATGTCATCAGACACTGTTCCTTTCCATAACTGATCCCCTCTTCTTTCATATGTTTAGAGCTGGATTCTATATATATGCAACTCCTGAATGTAAAACTCCAGAAAAGAATAGTCCAGGGATAGAAGTGGATTCTGGAGCAAACTTTTTTTTTAAAAGATTCGTTTATTGCAAATATACCACAGAAGGGCCAAAGGCATTATGGAAAGCATATGTTTTCTATAAGTTAGTTTCAGGAGCTGTGCAAGTCTGTTTATCTATAAGAGATATAATTGCTAAATCAGGTGTCCCAGGTCCTAAAGCATTTGAAATACAAAGAGGATAACTCTTTTCAAAAATAATGAAAAAATAAACATTTTAATTTCATTTGTTTTTGTATGAAATATTAGAGTTAGGAATAGTAAAGAAGAGGAATGGTGGGACTTGTTGAAATTTTTCTTGTAGGTATGGATAAATAAATAAAGAAGGTGTGTGACCGTATATGTGTATGAAACATATTCATACAAAATCATATAAGCTCTGCTGAAAAGTTTAAAACTCAATGTAACTTCCAATATAAATGATTTTTATTAAAATTTATTCCTGATTTCCTTTTTTCCCCCTCTAATTTAGGACATAGCACAAATTCCTACTGAAATGGGGTAAATCAGAAGTTTATTGTTCGGAGACTCTTGTTTTCTCTGCTGACACCACCAATATGAATAATGACAAGACCAGTGATGAGGTTGTTTTTGTGATGCAAATCTCTCCATGGGGAGAATACTATAGTCATCATGAGTTTATTTCACAATTCAGCTTCTTTCTCTAGAAAGCCACTATAATGAGATCGACTGTGCCCTTTCTCTAGACTGGAAAGTAAAATTCCAGTGGATCACAGCATGATTGATTTGGGTCCCTCAGCCATCCTGGTCATGAATGCCTAAGGACTGCAGATTCAAGCAGAGTTTGCATCTCTTATTGTGATGGTCAAAATGACCAAGATGACTCCACTGTGGTTTAGTTCATTTTAAAAATGTTGAAAATCTGCCAGTTTATGTTTTTGGAAGAAAATATAGGTCAAATTTCAATACAACTAGATTCACTTCATAATAATCTATTTATCTTTTTATATCAACACAATTATTTCATCTATTAAGTGAATTATCACATAACCCCCTTCCCCACCTACTTACTTCCTCCTTAATCTTCCCTTTGGAGCTAATCTCTATGACATTATTTAATAATTATTGATAAACAATAGGTTTCTCAACTAGATTGTGATCTCTTTGGGGTCTGGGGTTTTAGGACTGGCAATATCTACAGAACTGGAAAAGTGTTTGGGATATAACACATATTCAATAAACCCATTCCCCATAACAAGTAATGTATCAAATGTATTACAATGCTAATTAAAAATAGCTTTTGCTTGTATTATACTACATTATAATGTACTATATGTGTTATATATATTATACCAGAAGAATTCAATCTTCTAGTCTTTGCCAATGTCTATATAGGCATGTGAAAAAGAGCTTAAAACAAATACCTGGACAGATAATTTCCCAGTGCAATTGATCACAGAAAACATTTTTATCAAGCAATTTATGGGACAATAATTCTGCAGAACATGCTTCAGGATATGCTCATCTGAACATTTATTAGTAATATTCATTTGGATCATGTTGCACATAACCATGAATTATATGATCAAATATTCATTTAACCTGTCAAATCATTAAGATGGATATACTTTCTTTCTTTCTCTTTCTTTCTTTCTTTCTTTCTTTCTTTCTTTCTTTCTTTCTCTCTTTCTCTCTTTCTTTCTTCTTTCTTTCTTTCTTTCTCTCTTTCTTTCTCTCTCTTTCTTTCTTTCTGAGAGAGAACAAGAGTGGGGAAAGGAGCAGATGGGGAGCGCAAGGGAGGGGGGAAGAATCTGAAGCAGATTCTGCACTGAGCATGGAGCCCAATGTGGGGCTCCATCTCACAACCCTGAGATCATTACCTGAGCCAAAACCAAGAGTCAGACACTTAATCGACTGAGCCACCCAGGCACCTCAAGGGAAATATACTCTTATATGTGTTTCTCTATGTGTTACACACACTCACCCATAACCCCCACACATGCGTACAGAGACAGTAAAGGGCTTTACAGATATCGTTAATCATGGTTTACACATGGCAATTGTGTGTGAAATTTTGGAAATCATCTGATTACTGTGGTCATTGCTTAGAGAACTATGATATTTGATTATGAAACATGCTACAGAAATTATTTTAGATCCCAAATTTATCTATTGACTATGGCTTGTCTTGTTTTTTTTTTTGCATTTTTGAATCCTACCTCTTTCTTTTCTATATTTGAAAAAAAATAAGAAAAAGGTTATTGCCACTTTCATTTCTACTGATTAAAG